GCACCAGGCGAAGGGCGAACGTCACGCCCCACTGTTTGAAGGGCGGAGAGGGTGGGTGATGCAAATGCCCAGTCCAGAGCCAAAAGGGACTTGTGGCATGAAAGCTCTCACGTGTCATTTCGTGCACGCGTGCACTACACGACACTCCGAGCAAAAGCAACGCCAAAATGCTACACGCTCTGCACAAGATGCTCAATCTCCTACTCACGCAGCACACTGCACACAGAGCACCTTCAGTATGCTTTGGACTCGGACAGCAGGCGGCGTCAACTTCGTCCTCTTCGCACAAGCGGCTTACGCACCAGGCGAAGGGCGAACGTCACCATAGGTGCGACGCCTGTGTCACCATACACTCGCACCGAACGGCCCTAAAAGCTAGCCCTACAATTCTCCCTCAGGAAAAGCAAGAACAGCACTCAGTAGCCGCTGGAACAGTGCATCATACTCGCTGGAGCACCACTCCCATCCATGTTTCTCGGCAAAGGCAAAGTCAAAGCGGCTCACCCCGTCACTGACAGTCGCAGAGCTCATGACGCGCTGCCACACTGGCCACCATCCCTGCTTTTCAAAAAGGCACCACGCAACCTGCAGAAGTCGGTTCAAGTTCTTGCAGTTCCCGAAGCCCTTCGTCAGCGCGCGTCGCGCTGGCTCATTGTCAATGAACAGTAAGATGTGAGTTGGCAAGGCTGTCTGAAGAGCTAGTAGCGGTACAAGTTGGGCAACGATTTCTAACATGTAAATGTAGGCTCGCTTGGGTGCAAAATGCCGACTGAACCAGAAGGGAACACTTCCTGCAGCAAAGAAAGTTCTTCCGCTTGTCCTTACTACAAAGCCCCAAGCATTCCTGAACGATGCTGGTGGCCTATTCCCCCAGCTCGGAACCTCATCATGGTCCGCGGTCTTGTATCGCTTCCCTTCAAGCTCGAAGAAAGCGTCAGCGTAGATCACGGCCCGCTCTGTCACCTCGTAGCAGAGCACGCGCGGCTTGCTCGTCTGCAGTTTCATCCGCATGAAGGCGAGTGCCTCCTTCAGTCCATCTGTCAGCTGCCAATCCTTGCGCGAGGCCCAAAAATGGCCGGCCTTCGCGCGCTTAGATCGGCTGTAAGGCAGCAGCGCTGGCCTTACCGAAGAGGGACTGCACCACAAACTGCAACTTGCCTGCCAAGGACGACGCCTCACGCGGCGTTACGTGGTTGTCCAGAAGGATCTGCTTAAGCTGGTTGTCAATGCGCTCTGCACGCTCCGGGGTCATCGCCACGGTCACGTCGTTGTCGCCAAGGTCAAGGATCACCCCTTGGATCTTTTGCTGCCGGGCCGGCGGCTGTGCCTTGCTGTCCTTAAACTTCAGGCCCAGCGCACCGCACAGCGTCTTTGCGCTGAGAAACCCGCTGTCGGCCAGCTCCTCCGTCTCCTCTGCTCCAAAGTCATCTACAAAGTGTAGCAAGGGGGCCAGCAGCATGCAACGGACCAGCCAGCACATGAAGTCCACAACTCTGCATTAGCTCCACACACTAGCTGCACTTCCAAACATGAGAGCGTTGTGTCGCCACACCGTTGGCCCTTGAGGGGTGTTGAGGATTACGTACGTGCGGCAGGGGTTCTCTACGGGGAGCTGACGGTAGGCGGCCTCGTGATCCAAGCCCCACAACTGCAAACCATGCTGCTTAGACACCCGGCGCAGAGCTCTGGCAAGGTGAATGAATGCATCAATGCCATGGTACGCTGGTGTGTCGGGCACGCCCACTGTTGCATTGGTGCCAGATCGCCGCCAATCCTCCGCTCTTCTGATCTTCTCGTCGCCATCGGAACCAACCTGATGAACAGCAAAGGCAAAGGAGCACGGAGCTTGACCGCTAGGCGCAGGCAACAATTTTGCGGCGTGGGCGAACATCGGCAAAGGCCCTGCTTGCTTGCACCATGACGCAGGCGCCTCAAAGGGACCTTCCATGCGACCTATGGCCACGTCAGCAGCTATCTCTTCGGCCATCGCTTGCCAACAAGGGTCAACTTTGCCGCGGCGAAGTCTTTGCTGCACGAAGTCATGGTTTTCTACAAAGAATGCTGCTAAGTCTTTGGGCGTTGCGTAGCGAGCATCACTTCGCAGACGCCATCCAAGTCCAGGACGCACCGCGCCCAGAAGGGGAAAGCCGCTCTGCATCTCTTCAAACAAGGCCATGTCGCCCCAGCCGAACTGCGCTGCCAAAGCTACAATGATAGGAAGCTGCATGGTGCATTTTCCGCTCTTGCCACTGTACGCTGATTGCACGTGAGGCTCCAGAGTCGTGTGCCACCGCAGCACCTCTTCCTGGCGGTCCTCCACCAGCTGTACTACTTCTTCTGCAACTGCCTGGCGCAGCGTTGGGAGATGTGGCCGCCCATGCTGCCACAAGGGTAGCCACTGCGCTAGCCCCGGCTCCAGACACGGCGCAGACTGTCCAGGGTGTAGAGCTGTCTGGCTTGCCTGCCAGTGTTCCATCATGTTGTCGATGGCAGAGAAGTCCAACGCATCATCAAAGACGGGGACGCCTGGCCCATTCAGCAGCGGCGCCGACACCCACAATGTTGCCATCGTTGCGATAGCCGAACTGCCCAACGGTGGAGGTTGCCAACGCGGAGACTCCAACACGATTGCAGCATGAGGGGATGATACTTGCGCGCAAAAGATCCCGAAGATGAAGAACCATTTAGCAATGCCCAGGCGCCATCCGTTAGCTATGGCCTCGACTGTGGTCGCGAAGCCGCGCAGTCCACCCAACTGGTAGGTGATGCAGCTGCTCTTTGATCTCGGCCGTGGCGAGCGTCAGACGTTGATGGTCACGGGTGTCAACAAACATGTTGTCTTCCTCGTAATGCCACGGGGCATATCGCCGATTGTCATCAAGCCAGCGTGACTGGGTCTGCGAGTCCACTTTGCCACGGCAGCTCCTTGGGGCTGGTCGCCCGGCTGGGTCATCTGCAGGAGTTGTGAGGCATGGAAGAGGTCGGATTTGCTTTGCAACATTGGCTGGCCATCGAAGATTGCCTAGGTCATACGAGTCGAGGTTGTCCTTAGGCTGCTCAAAAGCTACTTTAGGCACGCCAAAGTAAGTACTCCATCGCAAGCGCCTAGGGAGGTCTTTGCGGTTGCTTAGCTCCTGCCAAGGCAAACGGGTCCACCACACACGAGGCCGCGAGATCACGCCCAAGTCAACCGAATCATAGATCACCGCTTGCGCAGACAACTTCTCTTCGAAGAATTTCACATCACGCTTGTTATCCGGCACTACGTTCTCAACGATGAGGATGGCCTGCGCATAACTCCACGATGCTTCCAATTCTTTGAGGAAGGCAGCGAATCGCAGAAACTTGCACCCTTCATCACCACTCACCCCAGGAGCGTTCGCTCTGATCCTGCTGTAGTCCGGACAGGGCGCCCCTGCCGCGACAATGATGGTGGCATTCGAGGAGGGGTCGATGGCATGCAAGGCACTGATTAGGCTGGCAGGATCGTCAGCATCTATGTCGCCACGGTGCTGCATCTGCGGAAACTTCTCTTCTAACAAGGACTTCAAGTCCTTATCGGTTTCCCACGCAAACCCCTTCCACCGCTGCTGCTTCTGCGAAATTATCTCATCACATATGAGGCCGGCTGATGCAACACCATCAAAGAAGCTCAGGAGAATGTCGTCGATCTTGTCACTCACATGTCGCTTGCGGGGCATGGGGTTCTCCCCATGCGAAGTCATTTTGCGCCTCAAAGGAGGTCTTCGATCATCATGATGGGCTGCTGAGGCACGGCCCTGGGCCTCTTCCCGAAGTGTCTGCATGTTCGGGATCAAGCGAATGTGGTCGGGTCCACCCGCCTGACAGGCCTGGGCAGGTGGCCCACGCTGTCCCTAGTCCTTCTGCTGCTGCTCCTGCGCATCTCACCAAGATGCGCGGGCGCGAGAGCCTTGCGATCACTGATTCTGCATGGCCTCAAACTTGTCGGGATAGCTAGACCACTGATTGCGATACTGGTTGTAGGGAGTCCAGCGGCGGTCTTCGCCGTCGCCCTTCCCGAATCTGCGCTTTCCATAACCCTTGCCTTTCTTGCCATCCTTGCCGCCCTTGTATGTCACATACGTCACGGCCGGGTCGATTTTGGGCAGGATCTTCTTCACCTTGGCAGGGGCGACGGCGATCTCGCGGTTCAAGGCGTCCTGGAGAGCTTGCGTGTCCCCGTGATCTCGCTAGTCATGTCCGCAAACGAAACCCTCGCACGCAAGCCAAGTGCTAGTCTCCATGATGTTGCCTCCCAGAACACTCGCAACTGCTCAAGCTTGAGGGGCCTAGCACGCACCACACGACCAAACCATTCAAGGAACGCAGACACACTCTTCTCAGGCGCAAACTCGACAAGCAGCCACGCATGCTTAATGGCCTCCAAGCAATCCAAGAACGCCAGGACACTCTTGGGCTCCCAGGGGATTTCGGGCTCTGCCTCCAGCTGATTGTCCTCGTTCACAGTGAGGATGGTGGTCCCTGCCTTGGCCTTCTTCTTTGCCGAGCAAAGCGGGTTCGGTTCGCCTGCCGCGTTGAAGTACCTGGTTTCTGTCTTGACCTCGTGGGCGAGGCGGGCGATGATCGTCTCCGCTCCGATGATGACCCGCTGCGGAAATTGACGCGGCTCTCCGGCGATGGTGACAGCCTCGTACTTCTGAATCTGCGCTTGCCAGTAACCTGCTGGCAGCTCTTTTGGCACTCTTGCCGCGACACTGCTAGAGGGCGCAGCTGCTGTTGCCACCGCAGCAGCATCGGCCGCCGGCAGCCCCGTTGACCAATCGATCACAGGCACGCCACACGTGGCGCAGGCGGGCTTTCACCACGGGGATCTCCATGGCCGATAGCTTCAACGTGTGATTGTCTGCAAACTTGAAGCCTTTCTCTAGCGGGTCCAACAGGACGGCGTCCACCTTTTTCGGGGTCTCGTTAATCGCTGCCATCACTGCCGCTGTATTGACGCCACGAGCCTGCATGTACTTGCGAAGGTTGTCACCCATGCCGGCCTCTGTCATGGCGCTTGCAAGGTCTGTCACCTGAGCCATGGCGTGGAAAGCACCTGCGTGATGAGTTCGCACGGGAAGGCTTACTACCAGCTACACAAGACACTGCTCAAACTCAAAATGTTGCGGGCATGCCAAGCTGTGGGCGAGCTGTTGCACTGTCGCTGCACCAGCGCTGACAGTTGCGTGCACTTCTCATATCCGCTACTCCCACGCACATCTACTTTTGACTGCTGTGTAAAGATGCGAGGGATTTGTCAGCCTTCGCTACTACATTCGCTGGACCCAGATTGGGACGAGGAATCGTCCCCCGTCAAGTCGCGCTCTTGGCCGCTGCTACTCTCGGACTCCGTGTCCGACTGCTTATCTGACTGTCCCTCTGGCAGAAAGCACCGCGTGCAGCGCGGCGTTTCGCCTGGTTCCTCAGCCCGGAGAAAAGCAGATCCTCCATAGGGCAATCCACACATTGTCTTCCACAACATGGGAAGTTTAGTGGCTTCATTGCAATCGCACATGCGCTTTTCGGATGATCACTAGCGAGGGCCGTTTCTGCAAGGCTTCCACGGCATGTGCAAGTCGCTCAAGTCGCGCTGCAAGGCCATTGTTGGATCGGTCATCCGATTCCTGCTGGCTCCTCTGCCGCTTTGCCAAACTCACTTGATCCGCTCCTGCTATGTCAAATCTTCAAGAGCAGCCTCCTGCACGTAACGCAGGATAGCCTGGCTACCCCAGCGGCCAATGAGCATAATGGTGCTGACTGGCACCCCAAAACGGCTCATCATCTGGGCTCCGCTGACGCGCAAACAATGACCATGGAAACGGTGCACCGGTCCAGAACTCGGAGGCCCAGGCCGCTTCAGTGGCATGCCCGAGTCAAGGCGATGACTTCCATCTTTTGCAGAGGCTCAGCGTCATGTCTGACAAACAGCGGTAGCTCAGGATCTCTTGGCACGAAAGGCTGAAATGCCAACGCTGCGTGATAAGGGCACATTGCTTGCTCAACGCATCCACAATAACATTTGTGCACGCGTGCGACCAGATTGCCTACTGGATCGTTCTTGGTCGCCCAAAGTCTCAGGGTCACAGTGCTATCCGCCTCATTAATCTGCATGTGTTTGGACAACAACGCTGCCAGTTCTATCTCTCTCAGAAGGAACCAAACACCCAAGGCAAACAAGGCTGCAGCGTGACACTCGGCAGGCATCTTGCTCGGCATGGAGATCCCTTCAGCGCGAAATGCGTCCTTGAGCTCAGGACCGCCCATGCCCCTCTCCAGGGAACGCTGGGCATCTGTGATGGCCAGCTCCACATCGGCTGGCACGGGCGAGCGATGTGTTGGCGCCGTGCTCGGCTGAAGAATTGGCGCGCAGACCGATACCCCCCAGCCTTCAGTGAGGCAGACACCTTCTCGATGACCTCTGTTGTGAGTGGCGTCGGTGGAATTTTCCACGCCGCACAGATCTTGCACCATGATCGCCACCGAGAGCTCTGCAACTTCACATTGCTCTTTGCCCGAATATCGCCTTTGAATTCCTAAGTCGCTGTCTGCTGATTTTGTGGCAACGCTGCTTCAAGCGCTTTTTGGAGCCGCCCTTGCTGATCTTGGCGACGGGGATGTCCTTTCGACCAATAATGTGACCTGATCCGGCGTTTGGAGTTGGCGTTGGAGCCCGCGTAGAACTTGCTAAAGGCGAGAACTGTCCAAAGGCCATGCCTACCAGCGCCTGGAGGTGGGCCCGCATTGCTTCGCTGCCGGAGCCGGCTGCCAGCATGCTCCTTGCCACTGAAGGGGAGGTCACTCCCACCTCCTCCATTTCAACCAGCACGTCTCCGGGTATGCCAGCGTCTGCGGCCGCTTGCACTAACCCTGCAAAACTTTCAGCGTACATGTCGCTGCGCTCCGCACACAGAATGACAAGCACAACACGACTGCACAGCCTGAACACTGTCTCAAGTCCACTCAACTCGCACACATTGCATAGCAATTTCGCACTATCAGGTCCGCACACAAGACAAACAAGCAAACTCAGGGCATGTCACACGCCAACGCACGACAAGCAATCCACCCTGGCACTCAAACTCTAGCTCGTCCCATTCTAAATCGCCCAAGGCTTACGTGCTCGAATACACTGGGTTCTACTCTGCCAAGCATCCAAGAGTCCCAGCGCACCCTACCATCTCCATGATGTAAGAAATCATCCGCGACGTTGCCAGCGAGATCATCCCAGTTCTCGTGCTTGTTTGCGGCGCGATCCGTGCTGTCCTCCAAGAAGCTTTCTGACACACCAGTCCTACCAGGCAAGCTCAGCTCTGCACTCAGCAAGGCAAGGCAACCAAACACGCACTCACACAAGCGCAACATTAAATCACAAGGCACAACGCACACACACATCCCAGACTCGCAGTATCACCTGGCAGTGTGGTCGCTCTCTTCCTCCGCGAGGCTAGCTCGAATTGCGTCCCCCAGCTGCGGCAGTACGTGTGGAGCCGCCCTTCATGGCAGCACGGCTGGCACAGGAACATGATGCAAATGCCCAGTCCAGAGCCAAAAGGGACTTGTGGCATGAAAGCTCTCACGTGTCATTTCGTGCACGCGTGCACTACACTACATTATGGTTTCTAGAATCTTATATAGACCGTATATAAAGATATACAAGCCTTCGTTTAGGGTCATATGGATGGTTCCTGGACTCTCCTCCACAAAAACAACTGAAGCTCTGGCATGGGCACTTCTGTAACTACAAAACACTTGGGGTAGCTACCATGCCGACACGTGGCAAATTTTCCCTAAAGTAGGGTACCCCAACATAAAATCCTAGAACTCTTTTAATGGGGGTTCCCCCAAAAAGATACTCCGAATTTTGGGAAACCCTAAACCCCATATACCACTGTAGAACCATATCGAAGCCCTATAAACCCCTTTAAAGCGATCCCTAATTTTGGGAAACCCTAAACCCATCTACCGCCCTGAAAGGTGGATGCTGAGACTATTCTAAGGATGTAGTGCAACATAAACTACCTTGTTGGGAGCTCAGACTAGGGTTTATTTAGGGTTTAGGGTGGCGCGTTCCAGCCCTCGCACGCAGGACAGACTGCAGGGCTTTCCAGCGTCTCTTTCCCTCCAGGCACCCTAAACCCTAAACCCTAAATAGTAATTTGCTATCAGTATAATTGCTGGTATTAGTGCTTCTGGCCATTTGGGCTATAAGGAATTTCATCACAGACTGTAGCTTGTTGGGGGCAGTTTCCACAGTAAACCCTAAACCCTAAATAGTGGTTTCCATTTTCTTTTCCATTATCCCATTATAACCCCCAATATAACAATATAACCCCATTATAGCAACTTAATCTAAGTCCCTACATGGTGGATACTGCGTTGCTGTTAAGGAACGTAATTTGTGTGACCATATTCAAAGGGTATGTAATACGCAATGTCTTTTTTAATCGATATGTGGTCAAATGAGCCTTTTCTCAGTGCCCCAGAGAAGATAATGTTGACAACCTTGCAATTCTTCGCAAGCCTAGTCGAAAGGCTCAACCTCAGCTGAAACAAGTAGTCAAAATCAGGCACACTGACGCTCCCCATAGTGAAGCCCCAAAAGAGCCATTCTGAACTTAAGACACTTCCTTAAAAGCATGGGATTCCAGCAGGAGGCAAGAGTTGTGATTGAACAGACCCATAACAACAATCTCCTTACACATAACTACTACCGTAAACCTCACACCCTCAGCCCCAAACTGTGTGTAGTACAAGAAGTAGGGAGAGTGCATGTCGGCTCTTTACCCCCGAACCCAAAACTCTACACACCACTATACAGTCCCAGTTTCGAGTTTTTGTTTTCCATTTCCTATTCTTCTCAAACCCTAGATGATCAACCCTAGAGAGCCTAACTCCTAAGCCCCCCAAACCACCCAAAGACCCAACCCTTAAACTCTGAAACCCTTCAACACCAAACCCTACACATTCCTTGTATAATCCCATATTTATCCCTCTAAAATTCTACATAGCTGTTATTGAAGGCCGCAAAATGCTTAACCCTGACAGCCTCTGGCTTTTTGAAGTCCTTCGTCTTGATCATTATGTTGGGTTCCTGACGAACCAGGGATCAGGGGTTCCCCCTACTACCGCCTCTGCCCTACCCACTAGATTCATCCTTCCTTGAGGTTGTGTAAAGCTAATTATGGCTGAAAAAGCCGTAAATCCTGCCTTGAATGGCGGGAAGATGTAGGCTGCACCAGAAACAAATTGAAAAATGCTACACAAGCTTCAGCAAGAGCCAAGCTGATCTACAAAAGTAGGGGGGTAGTAGGGAACCCATGACGGGATGAGCATTCAGGGATGCTGCATGTAGCTAGGGTTGCTGTTAAGGGACTTAACTAAGCTACCCTAATGTGGGTATATAGCAAACAATGGGGTTGTCTTATTTTAGTAACTTAATTTAAGCTCCTTCACGGCAACCAAGTAGATGGGGACATTAATAATCAGGATCCATTGGGAAATATAGGCTTCGGGGGGGGGGGGGGTGGGGGTCTGGATGTTGGGGGCCGGGGCTTAGGTTTTACTATTTTGGGTTGGATGCGAGGGTAAGTAATTGAAACCATCTACAGGTGGGTAGTTCTCAGATGTCCAGTCTGCGTAATGCTGGTTTAGAGTTTAGGGTTTAGGGCCCCAAACCCTAAACCCTAAAGGTCTGGGGTCTGGGGTTTGGGATTGATTTGGGGTTTGGAATTTAGGGTCCCCAAGCCCTGAAATGTTTAGGGTTTGCAGTTTAGGGACCCACGCCCAAAACCCTAGAGTTTTTAGGGCTAGGGGTTTAGGGACCTGGTACTTGAAAGGAGTGGTATGGAAGGCGGCCTATGAGAGACCATCGACTTTAGAATGGGATGCTAGGTACTTGCTGCTTCAGGAGACTTAGGATTTAGGGTTTAGGGTTTGCAGGGTTGAGGGAACAGTATGAGCTCTTGCTTGAAGCTTAATGCAGATGCCGGAACTATCACCAGCATTATCTTGATGAAGTACCCGTTACCATAATTTTACAGAA